CTGCAGGTGCGTCAAGAGAGAGTGGGAGGGTGGACGGGAGGGAGCGAGGGAGGAAGGGAGGGAGAGAGTGAGTGAGTGAGGGAGGGAGGGGGGAAGGGAGTGAGTGAGTGAGGACGGGGGAAGGGAGCGAGTGAGGGAGGGAGGGGGAGAAGGAGGGAGGGGAATGGGCGGAGAGGAATGAGAGGTACGCAGAGTTAGGTTGCGAAGCAGGGTTAAGTGCAGCGAGGGGTGGCATTGTGTGGGAGAGCAGGTAGGTGTAGCGGGCAGCGTGGGGTGGCAGGTGGTGGTGCTTGTGGTGCAGTGAGTGATTGGCACTGAGGCGCATGCAGGCATTGAGGGGCAGTGAATGGGCGTGTGGGCAATGCGTGCGAGTGAAGGCCAGTGCAGCTCCTTGAACCCCCCATCATGCCTCATCCACGCACTCACTTGCCGTCATCCCCACCCACCCCCATGCACAGCCCCAGGCTGTAGCAGGCACGCACATGCAGAACAGGCAGGGCGAATCGGAAGCATTGGGTGGCGGGTGGTAAGCAGGGCGAAGCAAAGAATGGTGGTTGCAGAGCAGCACGCGGGCGGGAAGGGGGCCGCGCATGTGGAGAGCATGCGCGTGGGATGTGCATGCAGGTGCTTGCTCCCCCAATGCCATGTGCCCCGCATCCTGCATGCCCATGCCACATCAACCATGGCCCCTCTCACTCCACCCAATGCCCACACCGCACGCCCCCACGCGCCCACACTCCACGCTCCCTGCCCCATGCGCACTGCCCCCAATCCACCCACGTCAAGAGGCAACGCCAGTTGCAGCGCAGAGAGTACAAGCCGACTATTCCCGCGCCGCCATGCAGTAGCTGCCTCAACTCGCCCTCCCTGCGCGCCCCTGCTGCCACCCCCCGCGCCCCTGCTTGCACTCCGTGGCCCGCTCCCACGTGGGCAGCAGCAGGAGCATGCGCGTGCAGTGCAGGGTGGTTGGCGAGTGGGGTGGAGAAGCAAAGCGCGGGCGTGGCGTGGTTGGGTTGCAGCAGGCGACGCAGAGCAGCACAGCACGTGGTTGGGCACGCCCTCGTCCACGGGCACGCGCCCCACCTCTCATGCGCGCCACTGCCACACGCCACACGCGCTCATCATGCCATGCCACGCTCTCACGCACACGCCCAAGCACCATTGTTCCCGCGCCAACGCCACCGCATGTGGCACTGTGGGGCGCAAAGGCACTCTCAATTGCAGAGCACTAGGAGCCACTTCATGCCACACTTGCCTCATGCCTTGCGCCATGCCACCGCACTCACACCACTCTCACCACTCACTCTCACCGCTCACTCTCACCGCTCACTCTCACCACTCACGCGTATTGCAGGGGCGAGCGCGAGAGTGAGTTGGCGCTTGTTGTAATACGGGCTTATATGATTACGCCCTTAAAATCACAACAAAGACCCGGGCTTATAAATGAATGCCCACAAAAGGGTCAATAGTAGGCTTATAAAACCCCAAGAACATACACACACAGTGTAAAGACTAGTCCTAATAGTAGCCTCAAGTCTTGGAAGCTTGGTAGGTGAAGCCTTGGAAGTGAGAATATAGCTTCACCAAGAAAGGTAGTAGATGCTTGGAGCACTTGTGAGGGAGAAGTCTTGGACTTAGAGAGCATTTCTATTTTTGGTTAATTGGAAGTTGGGAGTTGAGAATGAGCTTGGTTAGCTCAAACCCCTCCTAGACCTCCTTGGGGAGCTCCACTTCCTCCATGGCAACAAGGGCAAGGAGCTCCTGGGGGTGAGTTTGCTTAGGTGGCATCATGGTTGGATTTGCAACCAATGAGAGCAATACAATTGCGATAAGGATGATTTTGTAACATGCTGTAATTTGTAACAGCAATGCTCAAATGTTATCGGTTGGAATTCCAACCAATGTGGGGGTTGGGTTGTTTCCCAACCATGATTGTCTTTTAGTGGTGGTGGTCCACAATTGTGGACCAATCACCATTCACCCCCTCCATCCCTTTCTTCCCGTAAGTCGCTACCTTACGTAGGTAGCGCTTTAGAGGGACATAGTTAGAATAAGTACTAGGGTAGGTAGGCGGTGCGTTACACTCCTCCCCCTCTAGTTGGCAACGTCCCCGTTGCCTTGGAGTGCTTCTTGAGGCGAGTGCTGCGAGCACGACGCACCACATTACGACCAAGGTCAACACCATCCACTGGCCGTGGGGCTGCTCGGAGAGCCATGTCTTCCACGTAAGCTTGAACTGCTGTCTCAGTCAAGTGTTCTTCTGGCTCCCAGGAATTGTGTTCAGGCCCATAGCCTTTCCACTTAATGAGAAACTCACGTTTTGTTTTACGGCCGCGTTGTCGATCACGGTGCATGAGCACACGCTCGACTTCATAATATAGTTCCTCACCTAGGACGATGGTTGGTGGTGGTTTGTATGTGCCTTCGGCAACATACTTGTTTAACAGAGACACGTGGAAGACGTTGTGAATCTGCAAGGTGTCTGGTAGCTTAAGCTTATTAGCCACCCCTCCAACCCGCTTGATAACCTCGAATGGCCCAATCCAACGAGGAAACAGCTTTCGTGCCCCAGGTAGTTTGAGTAGAATGTTTTGCGGCATAGGTATAGTGCCTTGTTCTGCTAACAGCTGATGCGTTAGTGGGATGCCTTCGGGATGCCTTCGGTTATTCCAACAGCCATTAACGACTCGTTGTAGGAGTGCGCTTTGGCGTCGGCGGTATCTTCAGCAGGTCCAGAGTAGGTCCTGTCGAAGTACTGGGATATCTACGCGTTCTGCAGCAAAAGCTCCAGCTCGAAGCTCCACGTATAGAAGTCTCTGCCGTCAAAACACACACTTGTCTTTATTTTTGATATGCTGAGAAGCCTTAATTGAGCGGAGAGAAATTCTTCTTCGCTGGGACGGGGAGTCTTGGGAGTTGAGCCATTTGTGTCGAGGGAGAAAGTGTGCGTGGCGGTGTTCTGCTCATTCGAGGCCGGTTGAGATGGTTGGGAAGATGTTCCCGCATCGCCATTCCGCAATGTTTGGAGTCCTTGCTCCAAGCTGGTGAGTCGCTGAAGCAGTTGTGCGAGGACGGCGGTTCCAATCGTCGCTGTTTCCTTGTTTGTCGCAGCCGGGTTTGTTGGAAATGGACACTGGAATGGCCCGAAATAGTCTCTCAAGGGCTACAGGTGTCGTCCTGGGAGGGTATGGGTGCGCTGACCCACTAAGGAAACATGCCCTTTTAGCCCAGTTGGTTAGCGAACTGGATAGGGTTGGACTGCACTTCAGCCGTCAGATTCGTCTGACCACCAGATCCTCCGGCCATCCTTACACGCGATCGTGTGCTGGACGCCACCTTTCGTTTGCCGAATGTTTCGGAGGTGGCAGTGCGAAGGATTCCCGAGTCGCTCTCATACAATGCTGCAACAAGAAGTTGATCGACCCTAGGATCATATCGGAAAGGATCGCACACAGTTGATTGGAAGCGGTGGGCCCTTGACCTCAAATCAGAGTGAATGTAAAATGATTGAGATGTTAAAAAACATTACAGGTATATGAATAGTAGTACAATTGGAATACGAAACGACCTAGCTAGCCATGTACTCTAAGGGGTATGTTCCCTTATATAAATTCAAACCCAACCGTGCAGAGCGTATAGTTTCGAAACTGTTCCCGCCTTTTTCCTCGTTCCGCAGCTGCCCGATGCCGTCTGCTCCGACGGTCCAGATCCACACCAACTGTCTCCGTCGCTTCGAGTCAACTCTTACTTTTGGTTTCCTGCTTCGATATTGCATGACTCATTTGCAAGTGTCAGGAGTGCTCAGTGCTCTTCTTAATTTATCATTCGTAACAAACCCCAGTAAGGAAAATAGTTTTTTCCTTACAATGGACGTGAAGCAATACAGCACAATACGTTGAATATAACTCAATAATCCAAGTAGCATTTTTTAAATACTTTAGGTATATGCAAAACGTCCATCACCATTTCATTCGTACGGTGCAGCAAGATTTGGAGGTTTGTAAAGTGATCGACAAGGCAAGGCAGCGCGAACGAGCTAGGCGAAAACCAAGGGCAAAAACTGGCTCGAGAAGGTTACGGGAGCGACTCGAGAGTGGTTTGGTTCCGTTAAGCCAGGCCGAACAAGCCTCTCGAGGAGATCGGGAGGTACCCGACCGCCGTGAAACGCACACAAGTGCGCGCGAAGCTGAATTCACCCGAGTGAACCGAAGTAACACTCCAGCCCACTCTTCCCGCACCTTCATCTCTCCGCAGCGCACAGAGCGTGCGTGCTGCCCTGGTGTCTGCTCGCCTCCCTCCCCGACGACCCCAAGGCCTTCCCTCTCTGCCTCTCCTCCACTCCGCTCAACACCCTCACACCTGCGCACTACAAATCACTCGCCTACGCTCATTCCTCTCATCGCTCTCCAGCTTCGCTCTCTCTTGTCAATAGCTCTCAGCCTTCCGTTGCCGTTTTCATTCAGCGTCAGCATGGCCTCATTTTCCTGCTCAGATTATCCGTCGTATGCTGCAGCGCTGAGCTTCTGGAATAGTCTCGGCAGGGAGGACTCGACGGCATCACGCCGCGTTCAGCCGCTGGGCGAGTCGTCCAGCAGCGGATCGAACGACACGAGCCGTTATTCCGCCGTCACGGCCCGCTGCAGCACCAACAATGATACTAGCGATGTAACAAGTCGGGATTCACCATGCGCAATGCATGGGAATCTCCGAATGGGAGAAACCTAGCTAGCTACGAATTGCACCACTTGCTAGCCTAAGAAAGTACTCCCGTATCCCTGTCTGGAAGAATTGTAAAGCAAGGCATGGCATCGAGGCGCTATGCCAAGATGCCATGCTAGATTGAGTGGCGACACGGTATTTCTATCCGAGTCGCACTTCTCTTTTCGTAGCATAAATACTACTTCTCAGGTTCTTGTATCATCATCCTTGGATCCTCTATTCTAAGAATTCTCTTCCGCTGCGAGACTCTCCTTTCTTTCTAGCTACGGCGCTCTCTCTCCTTAGTAGCGCCGTAGCCCTGTTTCAAGCGATGACGCCGGCGCCGAATGCAACGACGCCTGCTCTCGCGACGACACAGCAGCAGCGCAACCTGCTGAATCGGCGGAATCTGCTGTGTCGGCAGAATCTTCTGCATCGGCGGAATCTGCTGCATCGGCGGAATCTTCTGCATCGGCGGAATCTGCTGCATCGGCGGAATCTTCTGCATCGGCGGACTCTGCTGCATCGGCGGAATGCTCAGCATCGGCGGAATCTGCTGCATCGGCGGATTGTGTAGCGTCGGCGAAATGTGCAGCGTGGGCGGAATGCGCAGCGCATTCCCGCACGTCAACGGCATCAGCAGGTCGCTTCAAGGCAGCACATTCTGTAGCACCGACGCGCATCCCGAAACCGAGCAACAAGAGAGTGAATGTGAGGTGCGTGGAGGGAGCGACTCTGATTCCCAGGCCTAGCTGTGCTGCACCGCACAGGGAGGTGCGGGGAGTGCAAGTTGAAGCTGCACGCAAGCGGCCTAGCACAACACCCAAGGTCGTGCTCGCCAACTCAAGGCGCCCATGGCGGCCTTGACTGCTGCCGTCACAACAAAATGAATGAAAAAAAAATGATTGGTTAGAAAAAAAAAGAAGAAAAAAGACAATGAAGGGAAATGGTGGGATGCGGTAAAGACACAGATGCACAGTAGCGAAGAGCGAGTGGGGCGGTTGTGGGGCGGTTTGGGGATGCGGGTTGGGAACCATGGTGGGACACTACCCTTTTTTGCAGCCTGCTTCACAGCAGGGTGTTTGTGGGAGTGTGGGTTTGCTAACCTTGGTGGCTGGAGGGTGGAAGGCCAAAAAAACTGCTGCTCTGCTGATGTGCTCTTGAAGGGGGATGGCTCAGGACTGATGTGCTCCTGAAGGGATGGCTCAGGACTGATGTGCTCCTGAAGGGATGGCTCAGGACTGATGTGCTCCTGAAGGGATGGCTCAGGACTGATGTGCTCCTGAAGGGATGGCTCAGGACTGATGTGCTCCTGAAGGGATGGCTCAGGACTGATGTGCTCCTGAAGGGATGGCTCAGGACTGATGTGCTCCTGAAGGGATGGCTCAGGACTGATGTGCTCCTGAAGGGATGGCTCAGGACTGATGTGCTCCTGAAGGGATGGCTCAGGACTGATGTGCTCCTGAAGGGATGGCTCAGGACTGATGTGCTCCTGAAGGGATGGCTCAGGACTGATGTGCTCCTGAAGGGATGGCTCAGGACTGATGTGCTCCTGAAGGGATGGCTCAGGACTGATGTGCTCCTGAAGGGATGGCTCAGGACTGATGTGCTCCTGAAGGGATGGCTCAGGACTGATGTGCTCCTGAAGGGATGGCTCAGGACTGATGTGCTCCTGAAGGGATGGCTCAGGACTAATGTTCTCCTGAAGGGATGGCTCAGGACTGATGTGCTCCTGAAGGGATGGCTCAGGACTGATGTGCTCCTGAAGGGATGGCTCAGGACTGATGTGCTCCTGAAGGGATGGCTCAGGACTGATGTGCTCCTGAAGGGATGGCTCAGGACTGATGTGCTCCTGAAGGGATGGCTCAGGACTGATGTGCTCCTGAAGGGATGGCTCAGGACTGATGTGCTCCTGAAGGGATGGCTCAGGACTAATGTGCTCCTAAAGGGATGGCTCAGGGCTGGGGTAGCAATTAGTTAGTAGTTGGTGTGAAATTGTGGCTAGTACGGTAGTAGTTCCTTCATGTAATGGTAGCATTGGCTATTGTACAATTTGAAGTGGCACTGGGGTATGAATGGATGCAGCAACCTTGTACGGGCTAGTACAGAGACTCCTAGGGTGAGTGAATGGTGTGTGTGTCCATTCATACGGTACTTGACACACAATGCCCTGGGAGGTGTGATAGATACCGCACTACATTGTACAAGCTCTAGTACCGTCCACTTCAATTTCTGCTGCAGCGGCAGTGCTTGTGCTCACTTGGCAGCCGTAGTGACACACAGCAGAGCATGATGAGTTGAGACACACCAAGGCAGTGGCTTCACAGCACACAGCGGGCAGAAGCAACGTCCCTCGCTTGCAGCACATGAGGCACGCTGCAGCACAGGCATCAAGGTGTGGCAGCAAGATGAGGGCGTGGGCGTGGGCGTGGGGGAGTGACTGACGCCTGGCTGTCATTCCCTGCTGCTGCAGGTGCGTCAAGAGAGAATGGGAGGGTGGACGGGAGGGAGGGAGGGAGGAAGGGAGGGAGAGAGTGAGTGAGTGAGTGAGGGAGGGGGGAGGGAGTGAGTGAGTGAGGACGAGGGAAGGGAGCGAGTGAGGGAGGGAGGGGGAGAAGGAGGGAGGGGAATGGGCGGAGAGGAATGAGAGGCACGCAGAGTTAGGTTGCGAAGCAGGGTTAAGTGCAGCGAGGGGTGGCATTGTGGGGGAGAGCAGGTGGGTGTAGCGGGCAGCGTGGGGTGGCAGGTGGTGGTGCTTGTGGTGCAGTGAGTGATTGGCACTGAGGCGCATGCAGGCATTGAGGGGCAGTGAATGGGCGTGTGGGCAATGCGTGCGAGTGAAGGCCAGTGCAGCTCCTTGAACCCCCCATCATCCCTCATCCACGCACTCACCTGCCGTCATCCCCACCCACCCCCATGCACAGCCCCAGGCTGTAGCAGGCACGCACATGCAGAGCAGGCAGGGCGAGTCGGAAGCATTGGGTGGCGGGTGGTAAGCAGGGCGAAGCAAAGAATGGTGGGTGGAGAGCAGCAAGGGGGCGGGAAGGGGGCCGCGCATGTGGAGAGCATGCGCGTGGGATGTGCATGCAGGTGCTTGCTCCCCCAATGCCATGTGCCCCGCATCCTGCATGCACCATGCCACATCAACCATGGCCCCTCTCACTCCACCCAATGCCCACACCGCACGCCCCCACGCGCCCACACTCCACGCTCCCTGCCCCATGCGCACTGCCCCCAATCCACCCACGTCAAGAGGCAACGCCAGTTGCAGCGCAGAGAGTACAAGCCGACTATTCCCGCGCCGCCACGCAGTAGCTGCCTCAACTCGCCCTCCCTGCGCACCCCTGCTTCCACCCCCCGCGCCCCTGCTTGCACTCCGTGGCCCGCTCCCACATGGGCAGCAGCAGGAGCATGCGCGTGCAGTGCAGGGTGGTTGGCGAGTGGGGTGGAGAAGCAGAGCGCGGGCGTGGCGTGGTTGGGTTGCAGCAGGCGACGCAGAGCAGCACAGCACGTGGTTGGGCACGCCCTCGTCCATAGGCACGCGCCCCACCTCTCATGCGTGCCACTGCCACACGCCACAAGCGCTCATCATGCCATGCCACGCTCTCACGCACACGCCCAAGCACCATTGTTCCCGTGCCAACGCCACCGCATGTGGCACTGCCCACTCCTCTGACTACAAGCCACTCACACTTAGCTCCATCTTAGGCTGAGTGGTCCATATCCAGATCTTGTGGGTTGCCTCAAGTACCAGATGACGTGTACTCGACCTGACCGCGCGTACCCTCTCAGCATCCTGACGCGCTACGTTGCGTCGTTAGACACCGACCTGCGCACTGGCGGGCTGCGCAGAGGGTACTGTGTTACTTGTACAATATATCAGGCATGGGGCTTGTGCTTGGAGGATGGGATTTTGTTGTGCTCACTGGGCACTCAGACTCTTTTTGGCCCGACGACCAAGAGACTCAACGGTCGTCACAGGGTTTCCCTTACAATCTTGCCGCTAATTCTATCTCCTGGAGGTCCATTCGCTCGTCTTCTGTGTTTAGTTCCAGCTGCGAAGCCGAGATCTACGATGGGGCTATGGCTACATAGGAGTTACGCTGACCTCTTCTACCTCCCCGTTCTATACGTCGACAACAAGGCCATGATTGCCTTGTGTCAGGAGCAGAGACTGGAGCACGGAACGAAGCACATTGCTCTTCTCTAGCCATTTCCGCTTTAGAAAATCTCATTTTGAGATTTTCAACCCCAACCCTGTTTCAATTCGTTCTGTCAAGAAAAGGAAAAATAAATGGAATTTCAAGCCGGTTACCATGTTGAACGACTCCTTGTCGTTCACGTACAACAGTATTACAGCCGCTGGAAGGATGTTAGCTAGACGCTGAACCACGTGACCATGTGAAAGACACCGGATGTTGCGGATGCCATGCAACTTCAAATTGGTTTTGCATAGCACCTCCTGCAGCTCTTTGAAGCGCGAGTGGACGTTGTTCGACTGTCCAAGGAGCTCCGCTGAGGAAGGGATGACATGGTTGATGATGTCAAGGTCAAGGTAGGCCAGAGCTGCATCCTTTGCCACCAAGACTTCCCCGAAACAAAGCAAATAGGCAACAAGTTAAACAGACATGAAGTGCATAAAAGGCAAGCATAAAAAACGTTGTATACAAACTTGTGCGCGATGCAGTAGAACCGGGCGAGGTGTGGAATCCGTGTTCGAAGGCGTGCCACCAGGCCCAGCTAAGAAGACCATGATGCTTGCACCGTTGGTGTTGATGCTAGTGGTGCGCTCAAGGTAAGGATTGTCCCGGATGTGCTTCATTTGTTGAGCACGGAGGTAAATAACGAGCGTCTCAACCAACTGCGCCAACCCGTACCTGCAAGGATTAGCAAGAAGGTAATTGGTACAGTGCTTTTTTGAAACAACGTGCTTTTAAAAAAGAGTACTTACTCGCTATAGTAAGTGCCGGTTTCCTTCAAGGGCATGTCGCGCGTGCCCATCTTTGCCATAAACTGGACCCACGTCACAAACATCATACTGGGTGAGTCACTTCTGCAAATAAATATGACAGTTGCCATTATTTTAGCTGGTCGGTTGGCTTCTGCATCACCATTCTCGAAGTCGACAATCGAATTCTAATCAGCAATCTTGCCGTCCCGTTGCTCTTGGCAATCCACTACCACCTCATAGTCTGGCATTGAATGTCAAGCCCACCCTCCCCGTATTGGTAGCTGGGGTCTCCGTGCACCATGCAGATGGAACACCTCATGCAGGGTTGACCCCATGAGGTCTGCAAGACGATGAGCCATTGGAAGTGTTGCAGCCATTTCTCCTTTGCATTCTGCTGCCACTGCTCGACGGTCAACGCGCGCGGATAGTCATCGTCGGCGGCTGCGGGTTTTGATGGGCCTGGACGAGGTGTGCTAAAGCGGGGGGCGGTAGCTGGGGGGACACCTGCAGTAGGATGGGCAAAGCCCAATTTTCACTGTTTGTATTTGCCTTTCCCGGCTCAAATGTGCAAAACAGAAATGGTAGGTAGAGTTGTAGCCACGGATGCCGAAACGGCCGGCGGCGCAGACTCAGCTTCAGCCGTGTTAGGCTGGGTCGAAGTCTCAGCCGCCTTTGACGTGGATTGCGAGGGGATAAGAGGTTCGTTGTTGCAGGATGTGATGACGCTAGGGTGAGGGATTTCAGGCGGAGGCCTCTCTACTGTGGCAGTGGTTGTTATAGTCACAATAGGCTTCAATAGGCTTCAATGTGCCTAGAGCCAAAGATAGAGTGCGCAGTCAGATTTCTGCACAGCGGCTTCAAACGATCATAGCGATCTGGTCACAGCTCCAATTGACCTCATTCAACTTGGATCTGGAGCGTCTTAACGTCGCCTACACTAGGCAATTTAGATCGCACGATTTCATTCAGAATTGACGACACAGCGTGGGTTTGAACAAACGGCACTATGGCAGCAACATAGTCTTAGAACACACAATTACGAACAGCTAGGAAGAGTTACGAGTTGGGAATGACTCCCAGCTCCTACAAACCCCAAGAGCCGAGGTACAGTGATGGGGAACAGTGCCACACTGTCCCCAACCAAGAAGGGTCTCGAAACTACCCTCCACAAGGGCCTACACCCAACTGATACGTTACACTACACATTGTAATGTAACTATCTTCAATATCTTGAGGTGTAGCCTTTTGGCGAGCTTCGAAAACACTTGAAGCTTGAACCAAGGCTCGGGTTCTTCATCACAAAAACTCATCATTGAGTTCTTGATGGGTCTGCTGCACACACCTGCGACACTCCGAATGTTCGACAAGCGACAAAATAGAAACCGCGCACGACAAAATAGAAACTGCGCGGGACACACAAAATGACCGCGTTATACGCGACTAGCGATAACTCGCTATTGACTTGACACACACATTCGACATCATGACCCATCATTCACACACCATTATAAGCATGAAATATATATTTATTTCATGCACTCATACCACTCCATGCACACACGCATGCACGCACACGCACACGGACAACAAGCCGAGTGCAAACCGTAGGGTTGCACCAACAAACTCCCCCTCGGATTGTTGGCCTTAGGATCTTGCTCTCTCAGTTCAGAGCCATCCCAGCCAGCTTGCAACACTTCCAATGCTGTTGTTTCACCAGCCTCTTGGTCATCATGTCAGCTGGCTGCCCCGTCGTCTTCACGTAGCGCAGCTCAACTTCACCCGCGGCCACCATGCTCCTCGTCCAATGCCACTTCACCCTCATGTGCTTTGTCAGGCCGTGTAGCACAGGGTTCTTGGCTAGAGCAATGGCTCCTTGGCTGTCACAATAGAGTGGGGTAGGTCCTTGCTGCTCCTCCCCCAATTCAGCCAACAAACGCCGCTGCCACACAATCTCCCGTACGGCACGGAAGAGTGCCATGTACTCGGACTCCACCGAGCTCAGAGCTTGATCCACCTGCTTCTTGCTCTCCCAAGCAGTTGGGCCTCCACCAACACAGCAGATGAAGCCTCCCACACTAGTCATGTCC